AATGTTCACAGGGCTTGTCTATAAGTACTGGTATTTGATACAGTTTTCTTCAAATAATTCATCTAGATAAGATTATGTTATACTTTAAGAAAATAATTTTATGTTTAAAAATTACATTTTAAGATGTTTTTGTTCATGAAATGTATGCCACTGGCATCCGTTCAGCTTTCCCCAGCATTCAGCTCTCCCATTCTTTATAAGGCCAATTGAATCATGTAGTTGTTTCTGAATGTTTTCTGGAATCAGGCCACTTGGTTTTGTATTAATTTTATGAACATGGAGAAACTATTAATAAGTGGAACATAACTTCTTTATTAGTGAGAAGGCATTATTATCCCCATTATACATATAAGAAAAATAGTTGTGGCGTTTATTAAAGAGTTTAATAAACTTTTAGAGAGTTTAGTAGATTACCTAGACTTTTAATAAAAGTTAAATTTATTGAGTGTTTTCTATTTCCTGTTTTTTCTCGTCTTATTTTATGTCTTTCTTCACTTACTAGTCCCCTCCCTTTCTGGGTATTCTTACCTGGAGAAGTTCTCCTGTCCCATAAGCATACCAGTGTCAACCCCCAGATGCTGTGTACTAAGCCCAAACATAGGAAGTTGGCAGATGTGCCGCATGGAGGCGACACTGACTCCTCAGCACGGCAACAGAGGCGATGTACCTTCTGGTCTCCATGTGGTTTTCCATCACCCTCACCCATGCTCTTCTTGCTGTGCCTGGATTCCAGCCATCGTGTCCTTCCATCTACAAAATCCTCCCTATCTCATGGCTTTTATGATTGTTCTGTCTTCTGCTTCAGGTACCCTTCTGCCGAACGCCTAGTTCTTCTACCTTCACAAGTATCAGGGCCAAAGTTATCTTCTTGGAGACATGTTTGCTGAAAATACTATCTGAAACCCAGGGAGAATTGCCTCATCATTCTCTTTTGTTTTCAATAAGCATGTAACTGTTAACTTAAATGATGATATTGGGGAGGATGCTGTCATGCTAGAGATTCAATCCATATTTGTTATTTAATTAATAATTTAATCAGTGTCCTTCAGTCACAAGTGAAAAGAAACCTTCTCTGGAAGTCTTTTTCTCTATGTACATATTTAATAAACAATAAAATCAAAGTATCCAGAATAAATTACTCCTTTCTCCAGAATAGTCTACTTTACATCATAAAACTGCCCTAAAATGAAAACTCTGCTGCTGATCTCTTGAACATGAGCAACTGTGCTCGATAAAGCGCATGTGTTCTATGACTCTTAGGATGCTTAGGAGGAATGAGTGATTTTCTGCTGCATGAAACACATGTAAATTTGAAACCACAATCAGATATCTATGATCAGGTAGCACATACTCTGAAGAAACATCAGACTAGATCTAATCACTCTACTAAGGACATCTGGTCAACCTCTGAAGAAGAGTCTATCAAGCTGAGATGTGAAGAGTATGAAAGAGAATTACATGTAGAAAGGGTGGAATGAAACAGCAGTCCTCCAGAAGAACAGCATGGATCAGAGGAAGAGAGGATCAGAGGAAGAGAGATGTGCAAGGGGGTAAGTAGAGAAAAGAAAACAAGTTTTTTCTTCTATAGTCACATGACTCTCACACTTCTGACGCTACCTGTGGATCATTCCCTATACCAAGCAGTCCTCACATTCTATGCAGACACTAACTGTGTGCCCTACATTTTAATGCAATTCTGACACTACCTGGAGATAATATCAGATCTCACAAGTTAAGCACTCAGACCTGTAAGATGCTTGTCAATTCAGACATCAATTGAAAGTCCAGGAGTCATCTGCAGGTCTGGCTGTATATCACCGATCTCTACAACTTCTCCTTGGGATTGATCATTAGCTAGAATGGCTCACAGAACTCAGATTAGATGATCAGTTTATTATTAGAGACAACAAGAACAATCAGATGGAAGGGAGACATAAACAAGATACAGAGAAAGAGGTGCAAAGCCCTGCCAGTTATCCTCCCTCTCAGCACCTCTGAATATTCAACAGTCTGCAAGCTCTTGTAAACCCATCCTTTGCGGTTTAGGGAGGTGTCATTACATAGCATAATTCATTAAATCATTTACCACTGATGATCCTTACCAAACTTGGTAAGGATGAAAGTTGCACTTTCTTGGGTTGGTCAGCTTTCCGTCATGCTGACAAAATACCTCACATAGTTATAGAAGGAAAGACATTTTGGCACAGGGCTTCATGCATGGTCACCTGGTGGCATTGCTCCTGGTCCTGTGGTTAGGCATAATAATCATGGAGGGAAGCACATGGTGGAGCAAAGCTACTCGCCTCACAGTTGTTGAGAAACAGCGAGAGATGGGCTGGTGACAACATATACCATTCAGTAGCAATGCCCACTGGGACCTACTTCCTCCAACCCCACCCCACTTCCTAAAGTGTCTACCACGTCCCAATAGCAGCACCAGATGAGGAAGAAGCCTTCAACACTTTAGCTCATATCCACACATGAGGTTTGAAAGACATTCCATATACAACCTGTAATACCTCTGATCCCATAACTGGTTTCCCTGGTAACAAGACCACATTTTGGGGCTCCCCAGGAACCCTTAACAGTCATTTCATCAGCATACATTAGGATGCTTATCACCTTGGAGTTTCCAGCAGTTTTAGGAGATACGTTGCAGAAAATTGGGGCAAAACCATATATATTTTCAGTGTCATGGGTTAATATTGTCCTTAAACCTGAATAAGAGGGATCCTTCCTTGAGTCTTATAAGGATGAAAAAAAATTATTCTTACTTGGCTAAGATTTTACTAGTTTTAGCATCAGCATTCTAACATACAGGGAATCCTTGGTTCTGGGATAACCAGAAACTTAGGTCATCGCATCTGAATTTTATAGGGTTCCCACTGTGGTCCTCCTCCAGTTGACTTCTCTCTACAGAACAGAACAGATCAGCACCAAGAGGATAAGTCTACCTGAAGGTTCTCACCCCTGAACCTTGCTCCAAGTAACTGGCGCCACATGAGTTCCTTCCTTAAAGGTCCCACAGTTGTTTTCAGATTAGTCTGAAAGGCTCTGGCCCATGTCTGCTATTCTGAGGATGGACTATGCCATCACTGTGTCCATCTTTCATTTGAGAAACAGCCAAAGGACATCTGTCTGTCAGAGTTGTAGATGCACTTAGAAATGCAGTCTGGGATTCCATAAACATCTTTGTGTGCTCTTGTGGTGAAAGACAAAACAGCAGCACAGGGGCTGGGGATTTAGCTAAGCGGCAAAGCGCCTGCCTGGCAAGCGCAAGGTTGTGAGTTCGGTTCCTGGTACCGGAGGAAAAAAAAAAAAACAAAAACAAAAACAACAACAACAAAAAAAAACAGCAGCACAGAGTTAGGGTGAGACATAGCACAGATAATAATTTAGGGCCTGGAGACTGGGTATTGCAGTATCAGCATGTATGAAGCCTTAAATTTCAAATTCCTTTCTAACCTTCTAAGTTGTTATAAAGCTACATATTTTATAAGATAAAGCATAATTTATGGATATATATGTGTTTATTATATCTTGTAACTTGTTTCACACCTGTTATATACTTATACTTATAGCACATAGCTCTCTATTTGTACTATTGCCAGGCACTTCTCAAATAGTAGTTCTCTATGTGAGGAAATGAAAGAAGAAAGAAAATAGTTAGCAATGAACAAAAGAACCAAAAGAATTCTAAAAACAATTCTAATACAAAAGGGCTATGAAATGATTTAGTTATATTCAACTGTACTTCCCAAACCTTCCGTTATGACTAAAGGCTTATTTTAGCTACTATTGGAAGTGGTCCTTTCTGGGAGTTGCTTTCTGCTGAAAACAGCTGCCTCCCACGAGTGACACACCATGATCCCACATTACCATAATCCAGAAGGGCATTCACACCTCAGGAGCTCTCTGGAGGACAGCGGCTAACAGACAATTTACAGCCCAACTTCTCACTCTGTACAATTCAGTTTCTTGCCTTTACCCACAGGTGGGGATGCTGAGATCACTTGTCAAGAATCTCGTTACAGACCTCTGTCTGGTGTCCTGCAAGCCAGCACAGACAAAATACTTATACAGACTAACCACTACTAGGCTCTGTCCAAGCATTTCCCAGAAATTATTTGAACTTTTAACATAACTGGATGAAGTAGGAATAGGAGCTCTTATTAATACTCATTTTGGAGATGATGAAACCAAAAGTTTTTCAGACCTTATGAGTAATCAAAAGTTACTCAGATCACAGACAAAATAGGGATCTGCCAGTATTAACTAGAGGTTAGATTTTTCTCTGAGCTATAATGGGTACCCTTTAGTATTCAAAATTATAGGTTCATTCATTATTCAGTTGTTCATCTTTCCAGTCAGTTGTGTGTGATTACACATGTGGATCCATTGAAGATGGGAATTTGAAATAAATTCACAAAAATTGTCATTGTCCTTATACTACAACAACAACAACAAAAAACACAGCAGGAAATAACATTGATAATAGCCAGAAGAAAGGCACAATAATGAGACATGGAAAAGCATGAAAACACTAATCCTGCTAAGGAAGATGGTCCTTGACACCCAAAAGGCCGTGGTTACCAGAAATTTGGCCATAAAAGTACACAGCAGTGCTCAAACTAAGAGTTAGGCATTCGCACAGGCTGCACACTTATCCATCTACTCAAATCAATCCTAAAAAGAACTATCTTCTGAATTCTAATGATATAGCTTAGTTTCCCAGGGACCTATTTAGATGATAACTGGTCCATTTTTTTGTTGTTGTTGTTTGGCAGGGGGGACTGGGAGGAATTGGTAAAGTAATAATCAGAGATTTTTAATGTGAGGTAGTATTTGAGATGTGTTTCTAGGAATTAGTGAAAATGAGCTCCACTACATATCATGACCTCTTCCTCTTATGTCATAGCTTGAAAGATTATCTCTGTTTGGACTGTCCTTCATCATATGCTGATAACTCCAATGTTTCCTAACAAAGTGAAGTTACTCTAATTCTTAAAGGCTATTTATTATCCATTGCACCTCCCTTCATGGCCACCCTGTCGGAGTAATCACCTTTGGTTTGCATAGTCAGTGTTGCTCCTGTGATACAACTTATTAGACTAAAAATGTTAAATGCTATGTTTTCTCTACTTCCCTCTCAACTTGTACTTTTCTGATCCTCAGTTTCTTCATCTATGAAATGGAAATACACATACTCTCATCCTAAAAAGTAGATGTAATTATTTAAATTGGTTTTAGCAAATCCCTAACCATCATAGATTCTTGTGATATTTTAACTCTTTCCATTCTGCACATTATTCAAAATCTTTACTAATGGAAATACATAAAAATGACCTGGAAAGAAAGATTCATCCTTAAAAATCTAATCTGGGGCTGGGGATTTAGCTCAGCGGCAAAAGCGCCTGTGTGGCAAGCGCAAGGTCGTGAGTTCGGTTCCCGGTACCGGAGAAAAACCAAAAAAAAAAAAATCTAATCTGTTCTCTAGCATTACCTAGAGATAGCTAATAACTGAGTCAGTTTTGTCAAATGGAACAATTTTATCCCTGTTTCTCTGCAGGCAAAAGAACACCTTGAGAGATACCACCTGTTAATAGTCATTTGCTCAGGCCTGCCATGGTGGCACATGCCTGTAATCCCAGCACTCCGGAGGCTGAGGCAGGAGGATCACTGTGAGTTCGAGGCCTGCCTGGGCTACAAAGTGAGCTCAAGGCCAGCCTTAGCTGCATAGCGAGACCCTGTCTCAAAAAGAAAAAAACAAATAGTCTTTTGCCTGGAGAGGGTAAATAAAGGCACAGACACAGGGCATGGCAAGGTGATCTTTCTGATAAAGAAGTCCTCATTTTCATTACCATGGGGGAAGGAGAGAAAGAGAGGAGGGAGAGAGAGAGAAACAGTGAGTGAGTGAGAGAGAGAGAGAGAGGGAGTGAGAGACAGAGAGAGAATAAACAATAGGCTCCTCTGAGTAGGACTTTCTTATCCAAAAAGCGAAGACTGGGCAGGGTGCTCCAAACAGCTTATAGCTCCTGGCATCTGAAAAACCCTCACATGTTCAAAATGTGCCACTGAGTATTCATTGGGGTTTAAAACTCCATTGTAAACTTAGTGGCTTTGCAGAGAGGATGAATTCTGCAATTTGATGCAGTTGTGAGTGTCCTAGAAAACAATAGCTTTTTGACACCCAGGAAAAATGATAGCCTATTCAACAAAAGTCTTCTGTCATCAGCTTTGTGATTGGAAATAAGGTAGGGAGCAGTTTCCCAAATACTGTATATTACCAAGCAGATGTATAAGAATCAAAGGGAATGTGGTTGCCAGGGAGACAAGACATTCGTGCCAACTCTGTCGCAGTCTAATCATAAAATGTCTCCAGGGGGCATTGTATAGCCACAAGCGCAGAGAGGAACAGAGCCAAGCTGGGGATCCAGATGT